CGGGCCAGGACCACGGCCACCCGCTTGCCAACGGCGCTGTCCTCCGCCACGCTCACGGAGGAGTCGGAGGTGATGTCGAACTGGGGGCTGTTGTCGTTCTCATCCAGGACCGTGATGGTCACCTGCGGGCACGGCGCGGGGCTCAGGCGTGGCCACGGGCAGGAGCTGGTCCCCCTGCCCACCTGGCATCAACGGCCACGCTGACACCCCCTGGCAAATGCTCGACCCGCCGCACCACCCCAAGGTGCCAACAGCGTGAGTGGTGTCCATCCCACGTGGGAATGGGTGCAAGTATTTGAGCTCAGGAGGTGAAGCTACATCCCTGTCTGTGGAGAAGGAGAAGGAAGAGGAGGAGGAGGAGGAGGAGAAAGAGGAGGAGGGATGCTTAGAGCCTGGAGAAAGAGCACAAGGGGGCCACCGCTCTCCAGTGGTGGATGTTTCTATGGAGCATCCTCCAGTTTTTTTTTTATCCTCCGAATAATCTGGGCACGGAGCAACTCATGCTGCCACAGGGTGACCTTTCCCTGCCAAGCTCTTCACAAGCAGCGATTTCATCTGTGCTCACAGCACCAGAGGGTGGGCAGGGTTTGCTTTAAAGCTAAACGGGCACAAAGAGGTCAGAGCTGCTCGTATTTAACTAAACCAGGGCAAGCTGGGTGTAGAAAAGACCTGAGCTCCCTCCTGGGGAAAGGCATGTGGGCGAGGGAGAGACTGGGCAAGAGATGCTCAGAGGGGCACTCCACCGCAGGCAAGCGGGGACCGGGCTACCTTGGCCACAATTAGCCGGAGGAAATGCTCTCATCGCATTTGTAATCCAAGAGCGACACAGAAACGAGAAAGGAAGAGCTTTTTTGTTCCCGGGGCTCTATTTATGGGTGCCCCGAGCCCTCAGGTGCGGCCAGGATGAATGCGACAACATCCCGGAGGAAGCCGGGGAGGGAGTTGTGTGCCTCGGGGTGATTCGGTTATTGTTGCCGTTGAATTAAAAACGGAGAGGGAGTGAGCGTGGAGAGCCCATTCAGCCGCCGCGGATGGATCCGGCAGCTGCTGTCCCAGTGTGCCAGATCAAGGCGGTGGGATTTCTGCCCGCCCGCAGCAGGGGTGGCTCAAGGGCGCCGCACCGCGTCCCGGGGTTGTCACACAGGCTGGTGCTGTTGGGACGGGGCTGGAGACCTCCGCCCCGGTCCCTCCCCGCAGCTCAATGCGGAGTTGGGGATGGATCCTGGCCCTCAGGATGATGCCGGCATGACGGACGCGCTTACCTTCTGTTGGAGGGGGAAACAGAGAAAACAAAGAACCGAGATTTAGCGGGGGATGAGGAGGTGCGGGCACACGCGAGTGGGCCAGCCCTGCATCCCACCGTAGCGAGCATCCCTTTGGGGTTTTTTCTAGACAAGCTTGGAGGATTTGCCCCATGCCCTGGGAGAGGCTCAGACAAGAGCACGGCAGCGTGCGGAGAGCGCAGCCGCCGGCACCCACGGCAGCGCTTGCAGCCCCCAACTGCCTTTGCCATCCGGCATCCTTTTGAGAGGCAACAGATGCACCCGAGACACGAGAGCGCCCGGGACGCAGACCGCTGCCCATCGCTGCGGGCAAGCCTCCGGTTTCACACCCCGCTCCCCCGGCTGCCCCAAACCAGCAGATTTTGAGTAGTGCCAGCTGAGACACCCCTGCCCACGGCACGGGGACCAGGCTCGCCCTGCACCCGCCGTACCTCCTGCCCAGGCAGCGAAATGCAAATCAACTCCCCCCCACCCCGGCTCGGCTGCCTTCGAAACTGCCAAATATAACCCTCTTAAAACACAAGTCACTGTGAAGTATGTCAAGGTCCCCAGATTTACCTCCCTCAAAGCTGTTTTAGCATGATAAGCCATCTGCAAACTCTACAGATTGGGGTGGTTTTGTTGGTTTTTTTTGTTTTTTTTTTCTATTCTGAGAAATGCCACCCTACAACATGCAGAAGCTAAAAGGCACTAGTCCGTAATTATGCAAATGCAGGGTTTCCCCCAAATCAGGGTTTCCAGACCCCGGCGGACCAGAGCGGAGGGGACAACTGGGACATGCTGTCCCATGCCAGAGGAAAGAGGAGGTGACCTGAGGTCAGCTCTGCCTGCGCAAAGGATGGTGGGGAAATGGGTAGAAGCTACTCACCACCGTGGAGTCAATCTTTGGTCCTCCATCATCGGCCACCACCGTCAAGGTGTAGAAATCCCCTTTCTCTCGATCCACCTGGCCTTTGACCGTGATGACGCCCTGCCAAGGATGAACAACAGCCACGTTGGCCACCAACACTTAGAATGATAGAATCATAGAATTGCTGAGTTTGGAAGGGACCTTTAAGATCATCAAGTCCAACTGTTAACCTAACCTGACAAAACCACTTCTACACCATGTCCCCACGTACCACGTCTACCCTTTTTTTAAACACCTCCAGGGATGGCGAATCCACCACCTCCCTGGGCAAGCAAGCTTGGGTGGACAAGTAAGCCAGGATGGACCACGCTGTGGCTACTTACAGTGATCCCGTTGATCTTGAAGAGGGAGAGCGCCTGGGCATTGGTGTTGGGGTCAAACTTGTAGGTGATCTGGTTGAGGTTGTCGATGGAGCGGGCCTGGACCCGGAGCACCTCGGAGCCCAGGGGGATGTTCTCCATGATCACGGCCTCGTAGCTGCTGTTGGAGAACTGCACGGCTTCGTCCAGCTCATTCAGCAGGCTGACGTAGACGCTGCAGAAGCCCTGGTTGTTGGGGGGCGCCTGGTCCGTGGCAGAGACGTTCATCAGGTAGCTGGTTTTGGTCTCGTAGTCCAGGTATTCAATTGTTGTGATGAGGCCCGTGCTCTCATCGATCTCAAACTTGCCTTCGGCGCCCGACAGGATTTTGTAGCTCACCAGACCACCGTTCCCTGGGGCAGGAGCAGGAACCACGGTGATGGCTGCACCGAGCATCCCGAAGAGGCAGGCACCACTGATGCCGACCCCAACCACGGAGCAGAGCCCATCCCACGTGGGGGTTTCAGCCCAGCCAAGCTAGGACCTGTGCAATGACCGATTTCAGCACTCTCCCCCCAACCTGAGTGTTTCGGTAAGCTCATCCCCAGCTTCCTACCTGTGTCTCGATCAGTGGCCCGCACCACTGCCACCGAAGTCCCTATCCCTGCCGTCTCCCGCAGCCCCAGGCGGTTGTACTGCCGCTGGGTGAACACCGGCACCTCGTCGTTGACGTCTTCCACATAGACGATCACCTGCGAAAGCCCCCGGAGAAACCACGGGTGAGCCGGGCAGGCTTGTGAACCCTCACCAGCTGCTTACGCTTGTGAGGGGAAACAAATCCTTCACGGCACTCATCTGCTGCACAGGAAAAATGTTATCTCTATTACAAACGTCATGTGATGGAGAGCGCACACACATAAACATCACAGATTTCAACAAGCCCCGTGCTGCGGTCAAAGTGACTCAATCCTTCCCTGGCCAGAGGTGGTTATAGTCTGTATATTAATTCCTCCGTGCTTTGGGATGCCCTGCTGGCAACCTTGCAGCTAGAGACCCCGCAACGTAAGAAACGCTGACGTCTCGGTGGGAAACTCTGCTCAAAGTTCAGCGGGTCGAGCGGCTGTTCCCCCAGGGAATATCTTTTCTCCTCCTGGTTGTCTCCTTGCCGCTGGCACATCATGCTTGGCCAGAGCCCACCCCACCAGTGGGTTTAAAAATAGACGCAACCAGAGGGCTGGGTTTGTGGGGACCGTGGGAAGCTGGTGTGTCACTGCTAAAGATTATTGCCACTGGGTCCCGGCTTATTTAAAACAGACACTTGGCCAGGAGACACAGTTTCCAGCAGCCTACGGCTCAGCTCTTCCTCCCGGCAGTGGAGCCACATCTCACCGGGCGAGCGGGACTCCCTCCGACAGCGACAGCCGCCTCATCGCACCAAAATGTCACAGGAAAAAAATAATAATAAAAAAAAACCCCAACAAGCTCTTTTCCACCCACGATCAGCCCCCGGAGACTTTCCGTCAGCATTTCCATGCCAGATGATAGCTCAAACTTCCTGCACGCCTGCAAGGGTTGGAAATGACTGCCCTCTGATGAAGTATCCTTAATATTTCGCATGAGCTCCGCCGCCTCCGCCCAGCCCCGCTGCCCGCCCCTCGGCGGCCGCCAAGGTCCTCACCCGCACGGAGCTCCTCATGGGTCCCTGCTCCGTGTTGTAGGCCTCTACCTCCAGGACGTGAGAGGAGTTTTGCTCCCTGTCCAGGTGCCGCACGCCTCGCATCACCAGCCCGGTGCTGGGATTGATGCGGAAGTTGTTGTGCTCGTTTCCTGGAAAGGGGGGGAAAAAGGTGAGATGGATGCGGCCCATCACCACTGCATCAGTCCTGGTGACCCAACGAGCCCTCCCCAGGGGGCTGTCTTGGCGGCAGGTTATTGAGCAAAACCCAAGTCCCCATCAACTTCAGCTACTCCAAGCTCAGCTCAGCAGGGCTTGGCCCTGGTCAAGCCAGGAGCTACGGCATCTAGGTGTCCATCCGTGAAACGTCATCCCCCCAGCAATTAACCCTAATGCTGAAGTTTGGCTCAGGGGTGGGGGAAATGTTTCTTGTGGGCTGCAAAGTGGAAAAGGATGGAGAACGCACCGGGGCAGTGCGTGTAGCCGGCCAGAGCCTGCTGCAAATACATCGATGCACGAAGGAGCACCGGGACTTACCCTTGACAATCCTGTACCACACTCTCCCGTTAATGCCTTCGTCCGCATCTGTGGCTTTCACCTTTGCGAGAAAAAGAAAAGCAGTGAAGGTGAAGAGCTGTGATTTCCAGGCTGTGACAAGTCCTCCCACTCTGCCCGAGGCTGGACATCCCGCTGCTGCCCCTGAGCCGGGGACCTTACCAACTGCAAAGCAAAAGAAGCTATCCTCCCCTCATCACTGGACAGCAAGGATAGCGGGTTCGGGAGCCTTTGGCTGCCAAGGTAGCTTTGGGATGGGCTCGGGGCTTTTGAGGACCATGCCATGGAACCTGTGCATTGGTGGAGGTCCAGCCCTGCGCACCAATGCTCGCCCCACTGGAGATGCTGCCGGGGATGGAGAACCCCTGCCCGTAGAGCTGGCCCGGGACGGGCAGGGAGAGCTGCTCCCGCACCTGGTGGGCATCCAGCCCATCGCTTCGGGTGTATCATGCGCCGTGTTAAAGGAATGGCCCACCTCTTGGCCAGCACACCCACCTGGGTCTATCAGCTCTGAGAGCTGCTTGTGTTTACCCCCTCGCTGCAAGCTACCGCCAAGCCACCCAAAAAAAACAAAACCCTGAAGGAAACATGAATGCAACCAGCTGAGAGCATACTGGAGGTCTGGACACTGGTCTGAGTCCTCGCGAGACCCCGAGCAGTGGGTGGGAGCACCCCTCAGCTGGGATACACCGCGTGGTCCGTGCGCGTACCGAATAAGCCACCCACCCCGGGAAACCCAAGACACGGGTCCCCTCTGGTGTCTCCGAACAACACTGCAGTGCTTCCCCAACAAAATCCAGCCAGCAGCTTGCTGGCCCCGGCAGCTGGGAAGCGGGACCTGGTGAGGGCCAGCGGGTCCTGGGCTCCTTCCCCAGCTGGCATCCAGCCGCTGCATCCCCCCTCCGCAGAAACCGCTTCCCACAAAGCATCCCAACCGCAGCCGCAGCGCTGCCCACTTGCGAATCCCGGGGGCAAGGACACGGGGCGGGGGGGATGCCTCAGCCTTCATTCTCCAGCTGTTCCCCTGGCAGGGCATCTTCTGCCACGGCTTCTGCCTACAAATATTACCCAGGGGTTTCCTTTCCTGGGAAGGCGGCGGTTTGCCCCCAGACTCGCACTGAAAAGACGAGGGGTTGCTGCAAAGGACGCAGGCGCAGCGGGAACAGCGAGGCTGTTTTAACCCCGAAGCCCCCGAAAGCCATTTGCGGGCAGGAGCCGGGCTGTCCCCTCTCCCACGTGATGGATGGACCCAGCAGGCGAGCGACGATGCCCAGGCACACCGCGGCTGCCTTGGCACGGCGAGACCCGCCTGCCGCACGCACCGGTGCTCCCTCCCGGGGAAAAGCTATCCCGTCAGCCAAAACCACCGTGCAGGTGGGCTCGAAGCCTAAAAGATGGGACTCAAACCTTCGCTGCCTTTTGCGCCATTCCCTGCCCTGCCGTGCGCAGGAAACTGTATTTCAAGGTGAGCAAACGGGAAGGTTTGCGACACGAGGACTGGATGGGAGCAAAAAAATGCACCCTGCAAGCAACCACCCCTCCCAACCGCCCTTCTCCCAGCTCGCCCAAGCATAAACCCAGTGAAATGGGTCAGCCCATTTCGTTTGTAATAAAGAAAAAAGAAATAATAAAATAGTTTGCATTAAACCAACACACGGTCCCATCGCTGCCGTGGCACAGCCGGCTGCTGGGAAAAACCTCGGCTGCTGCTGGTTTGACACCCTGAGGTGTTGGAGGAGACGTGGTACTTTGAGAGACTGTCCCAAACTTGGGCGAAATGATTAAACTGGAGTGTGAGCGGTGGGAGAAAAGCTCTTTCTGCTGTGGGTGCAAAGCACCTTGCGCAGCCCATGCGTGGAGCCACGCTTTCAAACACCCCCAGCGACCGAAAAGGAGGAGGAAGGAGGGAAGGAATAAAAGGAGGGGGGGGGAAAAAGCAGGCGGCTTGGCGCAGAGTGGCTGGGAAAAGGGGGAGTGGGTGTGCGGAGGGCAGCCCACCGCCCCCTCCCCGGCGCGGGGGGCTCAGCCCACAACTGTACCATTCAGCCTTCCCACAAGGGGCAAAGCCTTTTGGGGGGGGGGGCTCGACCCCCTCGTCCCAGCGGAGCACAGCCCCGGGGTGCCGCTGTGCTGGCAAAGCCCGGGAGAGGGCTCGGGGGCCCCTTCGGGCTGTCCCCAGCCCGGCTGCCATCTCTCTCCCACCCTCTTTTAGCCTCCGAAAAAGGAGGAGGGGGCTGGCAGCTGGCGGAGCGCGGTGGGAGAGGAGGCGAGGCAGGCGTGTGGGAGGCAAATCCCGGGCTCAGCCGGCCGGTGAGAGGTAGGGAGTCCGAACCCCCCATGGCAAACCCACCACTGGCCACTCAGACTAGCCCTGAGGGGCAATGGGAGGCGCGCCAGGGACGTGCCACCGTCCCCGGACTGGCGAACCGCTGCCCTCGCCCTGCAGCCGCCTGGGGACAGGGCTGCCAGCGGGGTGGGGAGGGGAGATGCGAAGTTTGGGGTGGGTGTGAAGCCAGGCATCCCCTCCTCTCTTCCCTGTCGCGTTGCTTTGTCCGTCCCGGTGATGGGATAAGGGGGGGAAAAGTCTTGCAGATGCTGCCGGTTAACAACGAGGGTGATGGGGTACAGCTTCACTTTTTACAGCCCTTTTACTTTCGCTACCCCAACTCTCCAGGTGGGTAAGCTGGGGGTTTGGTACCCTCCAGCATTACTTCCTCCGGCAAGCGAGTGGAAAGATTTAGCACATTGGGAAAAGCTGGGGAGCTTCAGGAAAGCGTCGCTAAGCAAGACGAGGAGGGCAAAGGGAGCTGCTTTTCATTCGAGCCATGTTACAGGCACAGAAGTGCCTGAAAACAGTCTTTTCTTTGCAGGAATTTGAGAAAAAGGGAGGGAGAGTGTATGGAAAAAAATTCCTGCCAAGCTGGGCAGATGGGCCAGGCCAGGCAGGCAGCGCCCGGAGCTGGGCAGAATAACGCTCGCTGTCTTCTGCTCGTGCACAAGAGTCATTTCTCCTTCCTTTCCACCTTCCTTGGGAGTGTTTTGTTTTTTGCAACATCTCTTCTTTCCCTCTGATCCTCACCTGCCCCGTGCCCTGTGCTGGGTCCTGGGGATGTCTCGTGTCAGAAACCAGGGCGTTCTGGTTGGGGGGGGGGAGGTGGTTGCCAGGGTGGGTGCCCCTCAGCAAGCCTGTTATTAACCCAGTTGGATTGCACAACGTGGGGCTTGGGCAGGACAGCGATGCTGGGAAGGGGCGATGCTGGGAAGGGGTGATGCTGGGAAGGGGTGATGCTGGGAAGGGGCGATGCTGGGAAGGGGCGATGCTGGGAAGAGGGATGCAGGCAGCAGCTCAGCCAGTGGGTACAAAATGCTGTGGGAAGCAAGAGGAGAAGAGAGCGTGGCTGGAAAAGCCTGGGAAACCATCAGCGCGATCCCTCCTGGTGGGTTTCTAGGGGATGCAGTCAGCTGGCTCAAAAAGAAAAAAACCCTACAGCTACCTCCAGCAGAGAGAAAAAAAAAAAAACGACCCGAAGGAATTGCCCACGCCTCCTGGCTCGCTCTTAGCGAACAATATAAGGTCACCAAGCCAAACCACATGCGGTCAGTAAATGCCAGAATTAAGGTAGCCGTGGTAACCCTGATTGAGGCTGCCTTGAGGCTGCCTTTGGTGCGTGCGGTAAGCAGCAGCCCTGTCTGCTGGTTTTCGTGCCCACGGGAGCCGGGGTGTGTGTGTGGGGGTGTCCTTGGGGTGGCTGTGGCTGCCGGGGGCTGCTCGGGATTCACCCGAGCTAAGGTGTTCTCAGGTGTTGATCCATTTATTTTGTGCATTTCCCATTTTTTGAGTGCAGACCGGGCTATGACCCACGGCAGCATCCACGTCTCCCCACAGCCTCCGAGCTCTGACCAGGCTGATACAGTCCTTACCCCGAGGTCACTAGCATCACAGCTTCGAATGCCCAAAGTATTCCAGAAATAAATCACACCTCCCCAAAGCCTCAAACCCAGCACCCAACTCTAGTGGAAACCTGTCACCTTATTCCCTTCCTTCCCCCGCAAGGGGATCCCACAGGAGCGATCTGTCCCCTCTGGGACCAGGCAGGGTCCCGGCAATCCACAGCCTGCAGCTCACCTACCTAAGCACGCACAGAAGGTAGGACTGGGGCACAGAAAACCCGAGATTCAAGGGCTCCTTAACTTCCGAGCGTTTGGCCTCGCAGCTCATGCAATGTTTGCTTAAGGTTGTTTCCTCCTGCGTCATTCGGACGGTGAGCGATGCTCGTCTCTTCTGACGCAGCATCTCGCTTTCCACCGGGCTCGTCCCCGCCAGGGCGCCTCATAGTTTCCAGTCAGCGATTAGCGACAGTGTCGCTGATGTCTCCTCTCCCCTTTTTTGAAGTTTTTAGCGGTGAACGTCTGGCTGCTGCCTACGCAAAGCCGTGTGGCTTTGGGATGGTGGCTGCAAGGGCAGACCCCTGGCAGTCCCTGCAGCCTTGCCTTTCTCCCCTTAAGCTCTTAATTTTAAATTGGCTCCATCCAAATTTGTACTTTCTAGCAGACTGTCCGGCCCCAGACCAGTCTAACAGCTCTCCATCACTCTTCTACTCCCACATCTCTGGAGGAAAGTCAAGGTAATGAAGGTTTACCTCCAGCGTGCAGGCTAGAGCATCGCGGGGCAAGCCAAAGGTGTAGAGTAACGTTTCCCCAGCCCTCACCTCTGAGCTGGGAAGATGTTGGCCTCCGACACAGCCGGTCCAAGGCCAATAACGCGTGCAGGAGGATGCACGGAAGCAAAACGATGGCTGCAAACCGCTCCGGGGATGCGATCTGGGGGATCTGACCCGGTGGGGGAAAGAAAGGACAGTCACCATCAGGTGTTGGGTAAGAGCTCTTACTGATGAGGCTTCGGGAAGCCGGTTTGCATCACTGTTTGCAGGTCTGGCGGAGAAACCGGCGGCATGTCTGAACCTGAAACCAGGTCAGCAAAATGCCTAACCCAAGAGGCACAGGCAGGGTGAGGGCGTGAGGCTTCGCCCCCGCAAAAAACCCAAAAGACGATGCTGGTACGATACTGCAGCTTGACGGGCACTTATCTGGGTGGAGGTTCCACCAACTATCCATTTTCTTTTGGGGGAAGAGGGAATAATAAAAAAAAAACCAAAATGATAGTCAATTCCACAAACCCATATTTCTGGGCAATAGAGAGGAGCCAAACCCCAGCAACCCAGGCGGAGGATTTTGGACCTTCTCTAGCATACGGGTATTTATCGCCCCCAGAAAAGCTTTGCGCAACATGCGTGTGTGTTCCCCACAGGTGTCATCACCGGGGCCATGGTGCCGTGAGTTCATGGTGCTACCTGTGCTAGATTTCTTTGCCAGATGGTTTTGTTCACCAGTTCAGGGCAGTATTTTGCAGATATAAATCCCACCTCTGTGCTTTGCCTACTGGCAAAGCACACAGCCTCCCTCCTGTCACCCTGTCTCACAGCAAACATGGTTGGGAGGACCTTGGACATCAAATCAAGCCAAAAATCCACCAGGCTGGACAGAGGGTGACTGTCTGTCCAGCTTCTAGGTGGTAATCACCCGTGTCGCTTCTCCGTGTCACCTTATGCGCTGCAGGAAAGATGAGCACAGAAAGCGTCGGCAACTGGAGCTCTCCCACCCCACCTCTCCTTGGGCTTCTAGTTTCAACCACCGAGCTGGTCCCAGCCATTACTGCATCCCCCGAGAAGGCAGACCCACTGCCCATCATCGTGGCGCTCGTCTGCATCTTCCTCCTCCTGGCGACCTTCCTCATCTTTGTCACCCTCTGCAAGCCGGAGGCGCTGGACCGGTCCCACTCTGGGACCCGTGAGTACATGCCCCATCACCCCGCGGATGCCAGCGAGCCCCAGCTGAGGCTCTGGAAGCGGCTGGGTTCCCTGCGACGCTCCATCAACACCTTCCGGAGGAGTCGGCCGGTGTCCCAAAGCCAGCTCGCCTGCCCCAGCAGCTCCCCCGTCAGCCAGCACTGGGATGTCATGGAGTCCACCAAAATGTGATCCTGCTCTGCAGGAACCAGCTCACCCCCGCATCGTTATTCTTTCCCAAGCTTGTGGTTCAGGCTCAAATTCCCTTCCCAAGCAGCCCCTGGTGCCCCGAGCATCCCGGCAGAGCCCTTTTAAGCAGCTCCTTTCCAGGCAGCGGCTCCGCAAGGCGACGAGAGATTTTGCTATTTCAGGTTCCCCGATGCTTTCCAGGTTACTGTTTCCTGGCAGGAAAGGTGGAGGCATCCGAACTACACCCGCACACAGCAGCTATCGCCAGGCAGTCCAAAAAAAACCAAAACCAAACCAACAACACAACAAACCGCTGCTTAATTTCTTTTGGAAAACATTGTGCAAGTTGTGCCGCACCTGAACAAACAACCTGGGTGAGAGCCGAGGAACCTGACTGCCTCCGAGAGAGCTCTCCGGGAGCCAACACGCTCCCCAAAAAGCAATCCTCAGCCCAGATTGCCCCCCAAAGGTGTGCTTCTGAGCAGGCAGAGGGAAGGCTTGTGCCCACCGTGTGCCATCCGGTCCCGGTCCCCCACCTCCCCGTGCAACGAGCCGTGGGTGGTTGATGCTAGGAAGGATGCAGGCTACAGCTGTCTGCTGGAAACCTGCTTCAATAAACAAGCAGCGGGAGCAGGTAAACACGCCTGTAAACGCATTAAAAGAGGCTTTTTAAGGCTCGCGGGCGCTGCCGAGCTCGGAAAGGCACCACGCAAAGCTGAGCCACGTCTTTCTGCTGGGAAAGCGTACAACAGCCAGCAGGTAAGCTGATGAGCTTAAAGGAATCAGGCGGAAAAAGATAAAGTGGTTTAATTCTTCCAGGTCTGCGGCTCACGCTATGTTTAGCCATCGAAGGGTGAAGGCTCCGTGCCCGGTGGGGCCCCGTGGTGAGCACCAAACCCCATCTCTCTGGGTTTCACGTGGTTTCTGACCCTCGCGGGGTGCAGCTCTGCGACAAGGACCTCCCTGGGCTGCCTGCGACATTCCTGTTCTCTTCCGGCCCTGGGCTGCCTGGCTTTCGGAGAAGGTGATGAGGAAACCTTCAAAAACTCTTTTCTTGGACATGGGGATGTATTTGAAGGGGAGGGAATTCAGTATAAATGGTTCTCACTGAAGGTGTAAATTAAACTAAAACCAGGTGATTGCCCATCTCCACTTCCCGCTGATTTTGTGCTGTAGAAAACACACCCCCCTCAAACAACGCCCCTCCTTTGCCACAGAATGCCAAAGGTCCCCCTCTTTTGGGGACCGTGCTCTAAAAAAGGGGACTGGGATGTCAGACTCAGGTTTCCCCCATTCCCAGTCTTTCAATTTTCACAAAAAAAAACCCCAAAAAGGCTCAGTTTTGGGAGTCCAGGGCAGGGGTCCTCTCCGCCCCTGCGTCTCCCCATCACACCTCCTCCCCTGGGCGCAGGGATGACAGGCAGATGCCCAACTCCCAGAGACAGGCACGGTGCCCCCGGGCGTCACGTACGCCGTGCCACGCACGGCACAAGAGGTGACAAGGAGCTGCAGGGCTGGCGCGTGGGGTCCGGCCACCCCGAGCAGGACTCCCAGCAAACCTTTGTTGCAAGAGGCAAAAAAGCTCTTTTCTTCTCTCCCCCGGTGACTCACCCTGGGCGAGAGAGCCAGGGACAAAGCTGTCCCTTTCCCCGTGCCGGGAGAGGTATTGAAGGCAGGAGAAGCCTTCCCAGGGCTCTCTCCAAAGAGCCTTTGGTGCCCGCTCTAGAAGAGCCCTGGGTTTGAAGGGATGCTGGAAACCCTCGGATGCCGAGTGAATGGCCGCATTCATTCGGCGCTCACTGAGCCATTCAGCTCTGCCCACCGCTCCCTCAAAGAGGAACAAAAATGAAAGCCAAGTCCCAAACGCTTTTCTCCCTCCCTTTTTCTCCCCCGCCCCTTCTCAGAGCATCTCTTTGCAGGCACTCTTCTTCCCCCCCCCCAGCCCCCTTGAGATTGCCGCTCGCGGTCCCTTCGCCGCCGGGAGGAGGGAGAAAGCGGGGAGGCAGCCCGGCAAAGGGGTCTCGCCCACACAGGGCTTGGGTTTGCTCCTCTCACCCCCTGCAGAAATGGGGTGAATTTCCTATTTTTCCCTTGCCCTTTGCTGTCTTCTCCCCGGTGCTCACAGCCTGCGTCAGCAAAGGGTTAAGGGAGTGTACAAGCAAGACCACATCTCGCCCTGGCCTGGAGGAACAAGACCACGGATAGGGATGGAAAATGCCCTCTCTGGGCTTCCAGCAGGTCACAGCAATGGTGCTGGAGCCCAGAGAGAGGGGGATCCCCTTCGCCCACGCAGGGGCCCTGGTGGGAGAGAGCCACGTGCCTGCACTATGCTGCTGGCGGCCGGGATGTCCTCGGGGACGCTGACTTCGTAGCTGCTCTGAAGGAAGATGGGTCGGTTGTCGTTGACATCCAGGACGGTCACGTAGACGGTGGCAGTACCGGTGCGCCGGTTCCCCGTGGGGCCATTGTCTGTATGGGAAAGAAAGGCGAGGAGAGGTTTGGTCACCTCCATCTCCTCCTTGCACAGGTGGTGCTCAGCCAAAAAAAAAATAACGGGACCAAAATTTCTAAACTGAAATCTTCTGTCTTTCCTGCAGCTTCCAAACCCCACACTGGACTGGGGGTGGTGATGTGTGTGTGAGTCTGCCTATCCTGAAAGAAAGGAAAAGCCAACCCGAGCCCCAAGCTGTGCTACAGAGCCGCTGCCCAGCAAGGCAACTGGTCATTAAAGAGGGTTTGTAACTCCATAGACTGAGGGTGATGTGCGCTGGAAGGGACTGCTGGAGGTCAGGGATTTGGGAGATGAAGACAGGCAGGGGTCTGATGAGTTTTCTGTAGACCCAGCTCAGCCCCCAGCCAAAGAGCACCAGGACCGGTCAATGGTCAACAGATAAGGACACGGCTGCACAGCTCTTGGGTTTGCCACGAAGGACGAGGCGATGGGGAGCGTAGGTTGGATTTGGTTTTCCCAACATGCCTGATGCAAGTGAGCACTAAACCCACCCAGCTGGGATCTGGTGACCGGGAAAACACAGGCAGTGGCAGTCTGACACCCATCGGAGGGGCAGAACGGACCCTTTACCACTTGGGACCCGGTCCTGCGTGTGCCCAGCCGGTGCAGCATCCCTGCTGCAGACCCTGCGGCACCTGCGATGCTGTGCCCCTGAGATTTCTGACTGAGCCACTTATTTCTCCTTTCAAAAGGGACGCCCAAGTCTTCTGTAAACAGGCACATCATTATAAAGCTCTGGGGATGACGGCCAAGACGCGTTTGGCACGCAGACCCCTCTGCCTGTGCCAGGTGGCTCTGGATTAATCGGTAGCCACCGAGCCAAGGGCTGGCGTGGCAGCAGGGGAACGATGCGGTGGTGCTGGCATTTCTGGGTGGAGGTCTGCTCCAGGCAGCACGGAGCATCTCAGCAATGAGGGTCTTGCCTTCCCTGGGGAAAAAGGGAAAGCCCCGGAGCTGGGCGAGCCCAAGGGTTGAGTTTATGGTCTGCAGAAGTCGTGTTGGAACCGGGACATATTAATGCGCATGGGTTCTGAAATGCTAACACCAGGCTTTGGTTTAGAGAGCGCCTCAAAGGTTGTTGTCTCTCTGCCGCGCTTCCGAGGCAGCCCGGCATGTGCGCAGCCACCCCATGGCAGCGGTCCCACGGGAACGGTGGGCAATCCTTACCGATGGCTTCCAGGATCAGTGTGTACGACGCCACAGTCTCCCTGTCCAGGCTCACGACTGTCCTGACCACCCCATCCCTGAAGCCGACGCTGAATTTGCCATCCTGGTTCCCACCTGCAGCAAAGGACGAGCAACCGGTTACCCATTGCCTGGATGCAGGGAGCAGAGCCCACGCCGCCGGGGGATGCTGCAGCCTGGGCATGGGGTCAGCCCAGCTCAGCTTCCCCTCCTGAAAGACTGCATTTTACAGGGTTTTGAGCAAGGCAAGTGTAGGACAAGCTCGTATCTCCTCCCAGGCAAAACTTCTCCGCAGCAAAAGTGCGCAGAGCGCTTTCTTTGCCACCCCAAACCCCGTGCCCGCCTCGCGGCGCAAGGCAAGGAGCAACGGTTGTAGGAAAAGCTGAATCATGTAAGAGGCAGATCATTTCCTGAACGCTTTTGGAAGCAAACCGGGCTCGCTTTGCACGTGGCCTGCGGTACCAGCGGGACAACACACGCTTTTTCTCTTGCCGGGGTGGGGGGGAGGCCGGAGGGGCCGGGAGATGAAACGCGAGGCTGCTATTTGTGAGAAAAATGACTCTCCGGTGACACTTCTGTTTTTGCCCTCTTCCTGAGGGCTCAATGCGGCGTGTGCAGTTTGCAAGTCAAAGCGTGGCTGGGGCTGGGGGGGGGTTCCCCATCCTACTGCAGGTGCTGCAGCTGCGGGTGCGAGCCGGGCACTGCCGGGGCAGGATCGCCGCCCGCCTGCTCCCTGCCCACCCAAAACCACCTGCACGAGATGCCCTAAAACCCCAAAGAGGCTTCCGGCCCCTAAAATGCACCTTACACGAATGCCGTCCCAGCGGCTTTAAGCCTGTTCTCATGGTTTTCCTGGCCGCATCCCGCTGGTGTGCGAGGGCAAGGGATGCTGGGGTGCAAGGGTTCACCTCGAGCAGGACAAGGGTTCATCCCAAGCAGGACGAAGGTTCACCCCGAGTAGGACAAATGTTCATCCCGAGCAGGACAAGGCTTGGTGATGGAGAGGTCAGCAAGGTCGGGAGCCGAGCGGGGCTGTGCGGCAGAGGGCGATACCGCCCAAGGTTTTGGAGGGGCTGGAAAAGGCAGCGCGGATGCGCAGAACACCCTGGACACGGTCTGGGGCAGCCTGCTCCTTTCCACTGCCAAAGCTTCCCCCGCCAAGCCCCAGCCCCGCGCAGGGTTTTGGAAGGGGTTCCTACCGGTGATGAAGTAGCTGAGCTCAGCGTTCAGCCCAACGTCAGCATCCGTGCAGTTGAGCCGGACCACTTTGAAATCCCGGGCCACGTTTTCGGGCAGCGAGACGTTG